CAAAAGATCCAAAAACATACAATGGAGAAAGGAAAACCTCTTCAATAAAAGGTGCTGGGAAAATTGGAAAGCTACATGCAAAAGAATGAGATTAGACTGCTCTCTGTCACCATACATTGAAATTAACTCAAAATGGATCAAAGACTTGGATATAAGACTTGAAACAAAAAATAGCGTAGAAGAAAACATAGATATTAAACTCGAGGACCTTGGATTTAGAGAGGATTTTGTGATTTTTGACCTCAAAGCAAGGGAAGTAAAAGCAAAAATAAATGAATGGGACTACATCACACTAAAACCTTCTGCTCAGCTAAAGAAATCATCAACAAAGTAAAGAGACAACCATCCGAATGGGAAAATATATTAGCAAGTGAATCCTCTGATAAGGGCCTAATATCCAAAATATTCGTAGAACTCATACAACTCAATAACAACAACAACAAAAATGATCCAGTCAAAAAATGGGCAGAGGACCTGAACAGACGCTTCTCCCAAGAAGACATAGAAATGGCCAACAAACGTATGAAAAGATACTCATCATCGCTAGTTATTAGGGAAATGCAACTCAAAACCACAATGAGATACCATCTTACAACTTTTAGAAAAGCTATAATCAACGAGACAAGTAATAACAAATGTTGGAGAGGATGTGGAGAAAAAGGAACCCTCATACATTGCTGGTGGGACTGCAAATTCGTACAGCCACTATGGAAAACAGTATGGTGTGCTTCCTCAAAAAACTAAGAATTGGTCCATATGATTCAGCAATTCTTCTACTGGGTATTTACCCCAAGACTTGAAAACTCATATCCCAAAAGATATTTGCACACCGATGTACATAGCAGTATTGTTCACAGTGGCCAGGACATGGAAGCAACTAAAGTGTCCTATGATAGATGATTGGCTAAAGAAGCTGTGGTACATAAATACAATGGAATATTACTCAGCCATAAGAAGAGATGAAATACTGCCATTGGCGATAACATCGATTGACCTCGAGATAATCATGCTAAGCGAAATAAGACAGAAAAAGTTGAAAATCACATGATATCACTTATATGTGGGTTAGAAACCTAAAAGCAACAAATGAACAGGACAAACAGACTCATGGACATGGATAATAAATAGACTAGTGGTTATCAGATAGATGGTTCATGGACATGGATAATAGACTAGTGGTTATCAGATAGATGGTGGGGGAGGGAGGTAGTTTGGGTAAAAGGGGTCAAATATATGGTGACAGAAAGAAATCTAACTATGGGAGGGGAACATACAATGCAATATGTATATGCGTTACTGTTAAATTTTACACCTGATACTTACCGGATTTTGTTAACCAGTGTCACCAAAAAATAAAATAATAACTTTTAAAAAATTTCACATGTGAGAGTTTGTTGTGCACATAACATATATAAATAAAATGTTATAACTGAAGACTTACGTAAGTCTTAAGTCATTTGAATTCCATGGGAACAGTATATCATAATTGACCATGGAATTCAAATGACATCAATGCATATTCATGCTGTTATGAATATCAGCACTAATTGTGAGGCTTCTATGAAATTATCATATTAAATCTGTACTTTTCAAGCTTTATACCAGTCGGGAGCTAAGGTTTAATAATAGACCTATAATTTCCAGCTGTTCCTCAAATCTGTTTATTAAGAACTCTAGCTCTCCTCAAGTTCTTTCTAAATAGTTATTGTCAATAAAAGTTTGCTGTCACCAAGCTAATATTGATAAAGAATCCCCAATCTGAGGTTCAGAAGAGGAGAAACTTTATTCAAGTTAACGATATGCAATCTTAGGAAATGGCAGACTCCACTGTAAACCAAAAGTGCGCTCCACCAAAACAAAGGGGAAGCCACCTTTTATAGAGAAAGTTTTTGCCCTGTTTCCTGATTGATCCATTTTTATGAAATGAGGAATCCAAATAGCACAGCTGTGATTGGTCTAGATAGGATGGTCCTGATTGGTCAGAATCATGTTTACCGATTGGTTGTTATGGGGCACGTCTAATTGGGTAGTTTAGATGCAAATGAGGATAAAGCTGTGCAGTTCTGATTAGACAGGGCAGATCTCCGTCTGTTGTTTGCAGATCTCCATCTGTTGTCCTTTATTAAAGGACAAGGCAGTCCTTTAATAAAGGTTGACTCAACGGGCAAGAGCCCAGTGCAGGAAGCTGAAG